CGGGTACCAATGCCTTGTTTCTGTCTCTATGCAATTATTCTGTTGTATTTACACTTTCCTGCAATACAGCAAAACACCCTGTAAGCAGCGAAGACATTTGTTGCCATAAATCTACCACGTTGCCCTTTTCAAAAAGTATTTCAACGTTATCCTGTAATAGCGATACGTCGATTCCCACATTCAGGAAAAAACATTCTTCTAAACACCATCGTTAAAAAGTAAAAGCAAGATCAAATCAACATTTCTCAGTGAATGCAGTTACAAATTACACGAAGGGGGGGTGTTTATATATATGTGTGTGTGTATAAAAATAAAAACTGCTTAGATACAATTCACAGGAACATACTTGGCTTCTCTTCACTGATCAAGAAAACATTGTGAAACAGGAGCTCGCTTCCCACCTGCCTGAAGGACTTTCGATCTCAACTGAAGAGCCTCCCTCCGCAGACGCAGGAATCCTATCAATTATTATACTACGTGGGATGGCCAGGATAAACGCCACTCACTGATCACACTTGAGAAGGGGAACGTACAGACAGAACTTCTTGAAGAACGTAACTCTTCAGGCATGAAACCTTTTCCTAACACATCCAGTGTTGCTACTTCAAAGCAAAGAGATCAAACTGCTCCCTGTGTGCTGAGCAGGGAAAAGGAATTCTAGCAAAGCTAACAAAAATGTACAAAAAAAGCCTAGATGATTTCCAGATCAGACCTGTGACAAACTGAAACCATCGTATTTATTTCTTGCATGTGAATGTCAGTGAAAACAGGAATGCTCCATCCAAATTGCAAATTAGAGTATCAAACACCGTTTGGTTTTGGGTTTTTGTATTTATTTTGAGAGGTGCAGGTGCGGTGCGTTTAACATCTACTGAACAATTTTTGGCTTGTGGTTAGGCAAGTCTTTTGAGACTTTATATACAATAAAGTACTCTGACTAAAATCTGGAAAATTACCTCTTAAGGCTCTAGCTGTACAGCATCAATAGAAATGTGGTGCCAGCTAATGGCTGCAATAACTGTCTTCATCCCTAGAGAATAATGGATGGAGAATATATCAATATGAGGAGTGGAAGGGCCAGAGAAACTGAGCAGGCACTAGTTATCGGACACAAAGATGATGCCACATGCATGATGTTATCTGTGATAATCTTTACTTAGGGCCCAGGGGGTGGGAAGGATATTCTTTACAGCGAAGAAAGTATCCATCAGGCCATATTCATAATCATCAGTGTTCCACTAAGTAAGCGTTTTTGGAGAAGGGTTGAGGGAGCACTGATGTAATAGAAATCAATGAAACTCAGCTTTTCTGCATCTATTGTTTAGAGCAAAGTAGGGAAAAACAGCCTGTACATCACTTTCGTTTCTGATCGTTCAGTCATATGCAGCATTCAGAAAAAGGCTCTGAAGGAAATCTTAAGTGAACCACAATCAAACTCTTAACTATTTAAAAATCTATTTAAAATCCAAACCTTGACATTCACAACTACCAAAGGAAACACATTCTTATTATAAGCATCAAATGCATTTTTTTTTAGTTTGGCCATGTGAGCACTTAAAACAGTGCAGGATGCGAAATTACTCTTTGGCTTTCTCTTCCCCTTGATGCAAGTACTTTCTTAACGAAATGGGAATTGGCTCCAAGCACAGTAGAGAACGAAGCGCTGTATTAAAGTTACCGCCATGAGTTCTTTGCAGACTGATACTATGCGTTCCCCACCGGACGTTTAAAAATAAGAATACCACACAGGGCAGATTATAGGATGTCCTGGCAATTTTTCTACAATATCTACAGTATGTTTTCCCTTCGAGAGTAAGCACCTGTCTTAAATTCACACACCAAGACTGGAGCACCTGTACGCTAAGTTTTTGTTACAAAAGGCACAAATAAAATGTGCTGGCTCTCTGCCCTTCAAGTCAAATCAGCACATTTCCATCTGATTACATGCAGGGGGAGGGGGAAGAAAAAAAAAAAAAAAAAAAAAGATTAGTACTATGTCAAATTTGCTCAAGAAAAATCAGGAAATGCAGGAGTTAAACATTCCAACCCAACAGCAGCACAAACTTGACCATGTTCTACATCCTGAATATTTTATGGTATATTTATTACAACAATATATTAAGCTACACATTCAACCACAAAAACAAAAACAGAAAGACAAATACTACTCATGTGCAACACAGCTGCATTAGCATTTCTGAGGAGCACCGAACTTCAGAATTCCTGACGCTGTTTTTAATTGTACATTCTGCGTTTAATTTCTGTGTATAAATAGTCAGCAAAGTGGACGAGAGCTTCTGCTTAATTACATTTGCTTTGTAGCTGTCTCATGGTGCTAAGGCTCCCGTGCCCTTAGCACCACCTTAGCATGGTGCTAAGGCTCCCATGCCACTTAGCTGATATGGATGGAAGATGTTATTTCCACATTATCACAACATCTTCCTGAAAAAAAGATTTTCTTTTTCTACACAGCGGTTTACACAGTAACAGAAATGTCTTCAAAGAGCTAGTGATCCTCATTTAATATCTTTGACCTTTTATGCCATTGCTTCTGACCAAAAGCAGTCAGATAACACAGCTGGGAATCTTTTTTGTGACAAAAAATTCACTGGGCAGCCAGTGACATTCCTACTGCCACTGTCCAGCTGAGGTGCATCAGGATGGATCCGGATGGGACGCCAGCTGAGTGTCCTGCAGAGCAGGGATGCTCCAATAATGCAAACAGAGGCCTATAAGACCTTCTGCCAAGCTTCCTTTACAGGGATTTCTACTTTTCCAGTTTAAACTGACACTGCCCTTTCCTAAATTTTAAAAAATAAAACAAAACCCAAAACACACCAGCAAAACAAACCAGCAGCACAGCAAAAAAGTCCAGTTGCTGGCCAGTTGGCTGACTATCAAAAAATCTATGCAGCTAACTAGGCAGCTCGCTCACGTCAAATTTCAAACACAGCAGAGTAACTTAAGTCTTTAAAGATATACTCTTAGGTTGAAGAGATTTCAGCACAGACGAAATCTGAAAGCTTACACAAAAGCTTTACTGCAGCCTTTAACATGCCAGAGCGTAACACCCGCTCGATAGCATAAGCTATTAAGTGAAACAAGTAAGCTTCAAAATCCTCAGGACAACTATTCACCAGCACAGGTCCGAGAAACCCACTCATCTAGGAAAAAAACACACGGCTTTTTGCCCAGGCACACGCCGTCCCCGGCCACGGGCAAGCCAGGGTGGCGGCAGGGGAAGGGCTGTGGCGGCAGCTCCAGCTGCTTGCTGGGTCCCGCAGCTTTCCAAAATGCCCAGTACAGCACGAGGGGTATCTTTAACCGAGCTTTGGAACCCCAGAACTAGAATGAAGTTTGAGAACATCTTGAGTTTCTCGTATTAAAAAAAACACAGCACAGCTGGAGAAATATACAGCGAATAGCGACATTTCAGGAGTTTGGTTTTTCAAATCATTTGCCAAATATCTGCAGAAGTTTATTTTATCCTCTTTAAATTCCACCGCTGTTTCGCAAAAACGCACTGCGAATCAAAAGTTACGGTTAGGAATAGGATATCCCTGTTCCTCAAAATACAGTTCAGTGGATTAATTTTTAAAACAAATTGCAGTACCTTTTTTTTTTAAAAAAAAAAAAAACTAACAAACAATAATGGGAATTACAAAAGCACAAGGACTGTCAAAATACACACATAACTGAGGTTTTTTTCATGTTTTGATCTAAAATAAAGGAAGGCTTGTACCGTAATTCTCTTTGGTGGAATAAAAAGGAGGAGTGAGGAATAGAAGGGCGCAAACAAGTCTTCTCCCTTCGGGCTCTCCTCACCGAACGCCAGCAGATTCCCACTGTCGTACATCCATGGATAGGAAGAAACTGACACCTATTGGCAACTTGAATATTACTGCATAAAGCTGCTTTTCTTCAAACTCTTACAAGAAACAGCTTCTCCTAACTAGATTTTTCTTTAAATGCGCAGATAATTATAGATAATTTAGAACTTTTCCAGTTGTGACTGAAAATACATCCAGAAAATTTCAGACTCTCCTTTTTAATAGAACTCAGACTCTTCCAACGTAAATTATGATCCCTCAGTAATCCACAGTTTTTAAGAGGCTATTCTAATTGATAAACAGTAGCACTAGTCACTAACTGCTTGAAAAAATAAAATTTTCCTTTTTTTCTGGGGTGAATACCTTCTTGGTGTTTAGCATTATAACACACACAGTCTGGGGAGCAGGTAAAAGATATCCTAATCCTAACCACATCCTGGGACAGAGCAGAGCACGGGCAGTGGGAAATATGCAGGTTTTCTCTACTAACATATCAATTGCTGCGTTACAGATGTTGAGGCAGCAAAGGGACCCTTAAAACAGAGGAACAGCTTCTGGAGAGCACCTTACCCGTTGCAGCCAATTGCCTCCTATTTGAGAGGCAACTCCTAGGGTACAGAGGGAGAAAGGGGAGTCCAAGCAAACAGTTCCTTCATGCTCAAGAAATATGTAAAAACACCTGCAGGCAAACACCTGCCTACAGTTTTTCTACTACAACACTTTACTGACCTGCTAAAGTGATGACACATTAAAAAAAAAACAAAAAACCCAATGTACCTGGGCCTAAGGAACAACAAAAAAAGAAAAGCGGGCAGATCGCTGTCAATGTGTTTTCAAACTGCTGCTCATGCGTACAACCTGCAACTCAAAACCTGAAACTTTTGCACGTATTTGTGCAAAATGAACAAAACAATTTTTCAGCTACCTATGGATGTCAGTGTAGGCGCTCTTCATAATAGTGAGAAATTAGTTACAGCAACAATAAATAAGCAAAAGAGACAAAGTAACGCTTGGATTCTTTTTTTTTTTTAAGCAACAGATTTCCTGAAAATCCAAATGAAGTCATGGAGACCCGCTTTGAGGATTTAGAACTAAGAACAAAAAAACCCCATCTGTTTTATCTCACTCCACCACTAGAGCACAAAGACTGAATGCAATTATTATACATACTTGTAACGAAGAATTTTTTGGTGAAAGTACAGCTGTCAAAGGCGGCAATTTTCTCTTGCAGCACTACAACAAGTATCCTGAAAACACAGAAATGGAACATGTAATTTAAACATTAAATGCATTGGTTTACAGATTCAATATCTAAATGTAATTATTTCGAAAGCATCAATGTAAATTCTACGGTGATAAACTGCCAGGTTACCAATACATGGCAGTTATTGAGGATTCTCTCTCATCCCAACCACATAACCTTCATTTCAGGAAGTACACAGATCTGATACAGGACAACACAGCATATTTATGATATACCTCCTGCAGTAAAAGCTCCATTAAAAACAAAGAATGGAATCGTGAGGATCCTGAATTACTTTCAATGACTCAAATAACAATCAAATCAACAATCGGTAGAACACAAGCTAAATTTGAAATAATCCCATTGCCCATCTCACTGCAAATTTATTAAACCATCTTATTTACTAAAAGCAGGGTTTTTTTTCATACCAAGAACATCAGCACACCAATACAGTTGAGAGAAGCAGGATTTGTGTCAATTCGCAAAATTACAGGTGTATGTTTATGTATTCACTTGTACACGTACACGCTTTTATTGTAAAATACCTGTTCACTACTTGAAACAAAGTAGCAGAACAAAAGCCACGTGATAAATATGCATGAAACTCCATGCTGTCAAAATTAATAGCGGCCAAATTTGGAAAGTCAAGCATCTTGAAAGCTTTGTAACTAGGATACGTCTTCTCCTACACTGACGACTTCCCAAAACCAAGTTCTAAACTCCTGAAGTGAAAGAACCACCTGGGAAGCTGACAAATAAGCAGATGGAATCTACCAGCTATCTGGAACATTTAGCAATATGACATAATTAATTAAGAAGCTGATTATTTTCTCATTAGGAAGAATATGAGACAGTATTTTTTTAATTAGCTGACAATGTGCAGCATTATTAAATGCTGTTCTAATCTTTTTAATTGTAAAGATATGATGTGGCAAAAAATTAATTGCATCTCAATGACTGAAATACACACCTAATACTTTATCTGAAAATTATGATTGCATATTGCAGTATAGAATAATGTTTAAAAAGACGATGAATCACATCAGTCTGAACACATATCCTTGGGTAAAGGGTGATGCTTATCTGCCATCAGTGTGAAAACCAGCCATTAACTCCTCTCTTCCCCCCCCCCATTTTTAACTGTTTAGCCACAAGAACACCTCCTTCTTATCCCACGAGAGCTCACTACCTGTAAGACTCTTTGGTGATGGACTACACTAAAATCAAAATATGTACCTTACCCACATGCCTGCTGATGCTTTCAGATATATAAGTAAGTTTTGAGTCACAATTTCCACCTACAAAACTGTACGAACGCTCCTCCAATAGGCATGATTTATCTCCGTGTCTGCTATTTGATTTTGCTATTATTTTTACCAACACATTTGCCAAATAACATAGATTGCATCTGTAGTTCCCAAAATGACTCCTGAAGCCTTTTCAATAGGCTGGTGTAACTCTACCTACTTTCTCTTCCTCTGATATAGAAGCTGATTAAAGTAATAAGCACTGCTCTGTATCTCAAATTCTTTCAGGACTCTCTGGTCTATAACATCTCGTCCTGGGACTTTGTCGCTGCTCTGTTTATCAGCATGCCTCTATCTAGGAACAAGGAGAAGCACAAGTTCTTGGAAGCAAGGCAGAAATCAAGGGACATTTTCAGACAAAAGTCTTTCATATTCACAGATTTGCAGACCTAGAACGGGAAGCACATGTACGCTTTCAGATTGAGCACCTTACTTGCCAAAAGAAGAGGGCAGAACACATAACAAGGGGGATTCAGATGCGTCAAGTCATACAAGAAATGAATGTACGGTTTCTTATTTGCTTGTAGCGCTCTCATTGTGAAAAAGCTGCTTGCCCACCCCCTTCCGATTTATAAATATCTCAATTTTTAAAAGTTATAAACTCTGCATATATAAATTAATATTGGTTTTGGAGAAAATAGTAGTTTTAGTTAAACGACGTATCTTCCAATTGCTTAAACTGCGGGAGAGAAAACCAAAAGAAAATGTATCAATTGCAACTTCTTCCACAAGGCCTGTAAGAAAGTTAACCAATGAATAATGGCAAGACTTTGAACGCATGTGCAAGTGTAATGTATACATAGAAAGCCTACGTATATTTGATTGTAGTATTTCCCAATCCTGTAGATTTTTGTTTTCTACTCTTTAAAGATGTACTGTCTTTCTGCATAAATGAAACCTACCAGATGGATGATTCTAGAGTATAAATACATAAATAATAAACAGTTTTCCCTTCTTCTGCAACTCGAGTTTTATTTTCAATTCAGATTTTGGACTCCATTAGTCTATAGTACGGTTAACGCACCATTAGCACTGCACTTGGCCACATTTAATGCATTTTCAGTCTGAAACAGTGAGCTTTCCTTGGGTAATAACAGAATCTGATACGTTCCAGAAAAGCAGCTACCCTGGATACAGCCACATAGCTTTGAAGTAGCTTTTCCATTTTTACCACTTAAGAAAAGAAACATTAGCACCTGGAAAGACTTTTTCCTTGGGAGAGACTTTGAATGATGATTTGCCTTTTGACTGTTTTTACAATTGGATTTTTCTTCTGCTAGGAGGCCAGACTGGAAAGATTTACTATCATCACACTGTACACAAGGGAACTTTAAATTTTTCAAGGGACAGTTGCACAGATAAGTACTGAACTCCTGACAGCTTTTAAAGGAACAGTGACCTATTCATGGCACATAACTCTCACCAACTCAACTACTTCAGTGAAACTATTTTTTGATAAAACAATCATACCCACATCCTATACTAAGCAGATGGATGGGGACAAAAAAAAACCCCCACCCCTACCATCCTTTACTTCTTTAAGCATTTACCCCATCAAAATATCCTCCTCATTGTTAGATCAGTTGTGCTATTAAAGGTGTTTGTTCAGCAGTACTACTTTTCTTCTGTAACTTCTACTTGACCTAATGTAGTCATTAATGTTTAGATTTTGATGGTACAATGATAGACAAATGCCTGTTTAACAATACCTTTGTGGCTTCTAGGCTTGGTTGGGGTTTTTTCTTATTTTCTTTTTTTCCCCCGTCCTATCTCCAACGCTGCTAACCTCCCTTAGTTGCATGAGTTCAATACATGCTCATATTCTTTTGTGGTCTTCACATATGCAAGCATGCTACCTACTGCCATACAAAACAGGCACATAAAACATATCATTCTGATGTCTTGTTTTGTTTTTTTCTCAATGATTTGCATTATTATGCCACCTTCCTTACTGAAGGACCATCAATTCCAGCAACAAATACGTACTGCCGAAGAAATGCAGCAACTTCTTCATTCCGTGCTCTACCTTTAACACAGGAACCATATTCCACAACTTCCATAAGGTACCTCAGACATTTGATAACTAGCAACAGTAATAGCTGGGTGGAAGGAAGCATTAAAGTAAGCAGCACAATCATGGACTTTGACCAAAGTCACTGCACCAAACTCTCTCATCAGGAGTGCCAAGGGGTCATCAAGATCCTCATGTAGGGATCCCTGGGTTTTCTCTTCTGTCTTAAAAAGATGCAGTGAACTACAAGGGTGTTCAGTTTTGTGTGTCCTGGAGATCTTCAATCTGAAGTTAATTCAGCACAATTTGAACTCACGATTCTATGGAAACAAGGTATTTTCAACCCGATGCTCAGCCTTCTAAGCAATTTTCTCTCAGAAATTGGGTGGCATTATCCCAACTAAGAGATGCCGCTTTGTTATTTGACTCACAGGAACATTATCTTCTGTAGACCACAGAGTGCGCTAAGATTTTTTTTGGATGTGCAGGAAGGCAATATATCTGGCAGAACAGTGGAACACAAAGAAAAGAGACATAAACTCTATAGTGCTCTATACTGTTTAAACTCTCGGTGATCCCATTTCTCCATCTGTAGGTGGATGATAGAGGATTCCAATGATTCCTGCTCACCCTCATCACAACTGAAAGAAGCTTAAATGATTTCAGGTGCAAAACGTTTTGAGCTTCTTAAATGAAAGCCATTGGAGAAGCATATTGTCATACTCAAACTCAAATATTACTTGAGAAATGGAGACCCAATGCTATGCTTACAGGAAAGTCAAAATAACACAGTCAGGGAGCAGATACACCAGAAATTGTATTCATTACTGAAATTTTACATGCCCTAACACAGAAAGAATGTATAGTAAACATCCTTACCTTTTATTGCAATGCAGATCATAAATCGGAGTTTTGAACTGTATGGACTTGACCATCTCTCCTGTCCGCAAAGAATAAAGGTCCACACAGCAGTAAGGTGGGCTTGTGCTAAAATGAATAAAAAAAGATTTTAATGGAAAGAAGGGGGTTTTTTGTAAAATTACTTTTAAGTTATTTCAGCCTCCCTGTATTATTTAGCATGCTAAATGAAAAATCTAGCAATATGAGCAGAATGCTGGAGAACAAAGGGTCAAGATAAGTCTCCTACTTTAAGGGAAGGTGTAATTAAAATTGAATTACGATATCCCCAATGGTCAGAACCTGTATTGTGCAAATAATTATCAAGCCCTTAGTTTCCTTTGTCACAAATAAGACTTTGGAATGTCAGATCTGACCAGCAAAATACAAGCCATGTGATAGGCATGAAGTTTTAGACTACATTCTCGTTATTTAAAAAATATTCCACAGAGTAACACTTTCCTAAAGGGAGTACTTATTTCACTCTATGCAACAGCTGAATCATATGACTTGATTTGATAGAGACATATTACACAGAATTTACATTACTTCTCTGATGGACTTTTGTTTGAACTATATAGATCTTTTCAACTGCTTTGTGTCACTTTTATCATTTTAATATAAATAAAACTCTAAGGCCGTTTCTTAATAAAAAGGCTTGCTTTCTTTTGAGAGGGAGAAAGTGCTGAGTGTTCCGATAGGCTTGAGGAAGGTAGTGGTGGAAACCATTTTACAAGCTGAGGAGAGGCTTTGATGTGGCAGTTCTTTTCCATAACACCTTTTTTCCCCTCCAAGAATGCATTAAAATGTTGGCTACTTCTAGGTCAACGAATATGAAGGAGCACAAATTGCCAGCTGTACAAACACATACTAAGTATTGGTAAAAGAGGGTGTTCCCCCTTGCCCATATCTGTTTTATTTTACAGAGTTTAACACAATTCCCGACACAACACTTGCTTGTCTTTTGGATCTGCTCAAGCTGCTGGAGAAGTTTCTGGAGAACTGGAGTACAAATGCCAACTGTTTACCTCAAATGCCTCAGGATAATAAAATGGTGCATACAATAAGTATGCAGCAGAGAAACAACATATGCACATAAAGACAGCCGTCAAAGAAATAATAGAAAAAAATGAGGTTTGACATTTTGCCTACTGAAATTCCTCCCCAAACATACGTTTTTCTAGGCACATACCTAGGCTAATAACTAGAGGGTGCTATTTATTACTTTTAAGCACTTCAAAGGCCCTTCAAAAACACTTTTAAAACAGTGAGATTCAAGTCTAGTTGCTTTACATTAGAAGCTCATTGCTGCTAGAAAAACGCAGAAAACCACAGCAAGGTCTACGTACAAACTTTTCTGGATTTAAGTACATTTATTACCTACAGGAAATTATTATTTTGATAAAAGGCTACACAGATTCTTATTTAAAAACAGAAGTCACAGAAGTTGATATAGCTAAAATCATATTAGCATATTTGATACTAATTACTATTTCCATATAAGCCCATGCTGAACAGTCCCATTTTGACTGCTTGACTTGACATATAGCTAACTACATGACTACGACTCGAGTATGTACCTTCTAACACATATTGCACCAACAAAATTATGGGTAATAATCCTGTCACTCAAATGAATAATTATGATGATGCCTATATAATTATTATGTCATACCTTCCTTTTGGTGGATTATGGTAAGACCATTCTACCACTGCTTTTTTAAACTGCACTGGCTAAAAAACAATAACTTGAATTCAAGTGCTACTGATCAAGTAGTAGTATGGACTAGGTCAGAAGTACTCTGAAATTCTACCTAGCTCAATTCAAAAGTCCTCCTTCCAAATGTTATCTTTCTTTTCATTCCATGGTACGTTGCAACCTATCATCAGAAAAAAATAAGCAAGTTATTCTTATTTTCTGAAATAAATACAAAGACAAGGTCAAATACATTTGAGGGTGCTCCTAGGACCTAATCAGCAGAAACAAATGGCAATAGCCAGAAAAAGTCACATTTGCAGGCCTTTCTTGTTCCATAACAACTCAGCACTATCACGAGTCTTCAACATAGCTGAGGATGCTTTCCCGGGAAAGTCCCATTTTTTGGCTAAGTGCTTTATCCACCAACTATGACACAAAAGGGTGGAAGCACAAGCGCTTGCTCTTTCTTTGGCAATCTCTTCAAAGGCAGAAAGGTAAAAAAATAAAGTTTCAATCACTAGAAAAGAATTCTCTCTCTCTCCCATTTCCTTCTGGTTTAGTTCCTCTCCCTGTCCAAACTAATGGCTGTTACAAACCTCATTTGCTACTGAGCACTCTCAGTTCATGAGACACAACAGCCATTAAATTACTCTAATTTAAATTTATAAACTCTACTCCAAAAGCTGTGTACCTAAACGAGGAATGATACAATGCTGAGATCCATAATGTCAAATTCTTTTTTGATCAGGCCTCAGTAACAACTCAATAACATGTTTTCAACTT